TCTCAGGATTTACATTCTCCATGTGCTGATTGTGTTAGATTCTAGGATCTCTTAAGCTTCATGCTCAATTCTTTTCTATCAGTTTTTGGCCTGGGCCAACCTTTGCCGTTTCTGCAGTTCCTCCGTTCGTTGCTTCTGATGTTCCTTCATGCAGTCCCTGAAGGCCTGCACCTGTAGCTGGCACTTCCTCCAGTCCTGGTTTTCAGCCATGCACTCCTGGACTGCGTAATGAAAAGTGGCACAGCCAGTGCTCAAGATCATTTGATCAAAGGGATCCTCCTCATCCTCTGACTTCCGGTTCCAGTTGTGACCCTGAGGGCTGGGACCAGACATTTGGCTGGATCTGAAAAGTATGGGATCAGAGGAGAGCAGATGAGGGGAAGGAAAAGGTCATTGGAAAGCTCGGTCATGGCACACAAACTCAGCCATACGGCTTGTGCCAATGGTAAATCAGAAATAAATGATGGGGCTTTACGGGAGAAAGGCCAGTGGACGTACCATACTCCCAGCCTTAACACTACATTTCCATGTTCCCAGCATTGCCTAGTGCTGCACTCACCTTGGAAGGCCTCCCATGCTTCTAATCAATATTTTCCTCTTATACCGCATCTTCCATGAAACTCAAAGAATTTTACAAACATTAAAGACTGAAGTTTCCCCATGATCCTGCAAGGTGTCATTCTACCTACCTTTGGGGAAATTGAGACACTGAGAAATACAGAACCAGATTTTCAGTACTATTGAGTAGCCACAACATCCACAGACTTCAGCTTGAGTTTTGGATGCCTGGTACCTCTGAAAATTCAGCTCAGAATCAAGGCCAGTTGAACATCAGTGCTGTGCCTTAATCACAGCTATGATGTTTATGAAGTGCATTGACTGAGTCAGAGTACAAATGGACACGGAATTGAACCTGAAACACACTAAAGCCCTGTTATAGGCAGAGGCTTAATACTGGATACCTCAGAGGAATTCACCAGGTGCATGTCCCAACATGTGTATAAAATATAATTGGTCATACCAAGAAAGTATTATCAATTTGAAAATAACATGCTCTGAACAGCTTTTTAGCTTATTTCTTTCAGTTTGCCGTCCTGCTCTGGGAAACTGGGGAATGAAGTGGCAGGGGTCAGAACACAGACTAATGGGGTGATGTGTTCTACTAGTATATCAGCCCAATCAGTTTTCTTGGGATGGAAAATATCTATTAAGTTTGTCTCCTAGACAGGGCAGGGTTATGACCTGCCTACACAACATATTCTCCAGCGCTTTGGCCAATTTAACTTCAAATGACAAACTATTGGATTCCCAATATTTCTCTGGGCCTTATATTGTTTCCATTACCTATGAGACAAAATTCTGCTTGAATACATAAGCATCTGATCCACTGAACATTTTTTACATGCAAGAACCTAAAAACAGATGAAAAAGTTACTTTTCTTTCTCCTTTAGCTGCCTGATTATCATATTGCTAGGTACCCCACATCCCACCTCCACTAAAAAAAACTAATACAGCTCATCCTCATCAAGAAGTTTAATTTGCAACTACTGTAGTTCATTTCCTATCTCCAAACAGAATATTCTATTATGCGTAAAATTACTTGTCAGCCATTAGTGTAACACGGGGGTTAGCAACCTTTGGCATGCGGCCTGTGAGGGTAAGCCTCTAGCTGGCCACAAGACAGTTTGTCTATGCTGAAAGTGGAGCAGGTTGCAAGGATGTAATGTAGTAGAAAAATTCCTATTTCTTATTTTTAGTGATATTTTAAGCATTTAAGTTTTAATGTATTAAGTTTTAAAACATTTTAAATTATTTTGAAGTAGAAATAGATTTAGATTTTTATAGTTATTGTTATAGAAATGATTTAGAAGTATTTGATTTAGAATTATTGTAGAAATAAATTCTGATTTTTATGGTGGTTATTTTGCTTTTAGTTTTAAAGTAGATATTGTAGTATAAGTACAGTGGAAGAATGTAATTATTTGCTTTTTAAAAAAAGGTTTTGCTTGTAACCCTTGTTCTTACGTGCGAGAGTAAGGAATGCATGAGAGATATGGATGAAGGCCACCAGTGAACCACGGATACTGAACAAAACAGTGGGCAAATTGACGTCTCTGAAAGAAGGCAAGCATTTATCAACTGGGACAAAATATTCATGATCCAAACCAGCTTAGCATAGCAGAAGATAAGCAGCAAGAAGAACAACCGGGGTAACAGACATCCATCAGAAAAACAGCATGACAATGTAAAACCCACTGATCCTGATGGAAAAGGATTATTATAAAAGGACTCCTTTCCCATAAGAGCCAGATTCGTCCTGCCATTATCAGACTAGAACCTCAGTCTGGGCTGAAGCAAACCTGGTTCCTCTCTCACACTTAGCCTACTTGGCCACCAAGCTAATGTGAGCACCAGACTGGTAACTATACCATTTGTGTCAGGAGAGACAGAGAGAGAGACAACCAGTGTGTGTGTCTATCTATGTAAGCATACGCTAACTGCTTTGCCATTGTATTCTCAATGAATGTGGCATATTACCTTTCCTCCCTATAAAGATCCCATGTGCTTCTTATAAGTAGAACAGTACTTGCTGTGGTTAATCATTCCCAGCCAATGGGTACTGTGGGAAGCCATGGCCAGCATGGTCCTGAGGCCTGTGCTGCTTCCTGCGGCTCCTGTGAATGCTTAGTGTAAACAAATTGTTTCACAGCCAGCTAGCAGATTACACTCATGGGCCACGTACCAAAGGTGGCTGACCCTTGCTGTAACACCTAGTTGCTGTTAGGGATGTAAGTGACTAATCAACTAGTTGACTATCAGATAGTCGACATACTAACTGACTAGTCGCTTCCCCCCACCTTGCTGCATCAGTCAGCAAGAGGGGGGAAGTGGAAGGGGTGCTGGGGGAGCCGGCTTAAAAGTCGGTTCCCCCCAGCTCCAGCTTTGTGGGAGAGGTCAGGGGTGCAGCAGCCGTGTTCCACCTTTGAAATGTACAAGAATCCCCACAGGGGCTCTTGTACATTTCAAAGCGGAAGTGCAGTATGGAGCCTGGGGCCAGCGGGGGACTCACAGAGATCCCCCTCTGGCCCAGGCCTCCAAGTGGAAGCACCCTTATTGACTAATCGAATAGTCAATAGAAATTCCATCAACTACTCGATTAGTTGATTAATCTAATTTTAACATCTCTAGTTGCTATACAGAATTTAAAACAAATAGACCATAAATACTGCACAGAATGAGCAAACACATCAAGATGTACCATCTTATACTCACCCCCACCTTTCCTCACCAATACTCAGTGGGCATTTTTGCATGTGTTCTAATAGTGACAGTATTTAAATCTCTTGTGATGTTAACAAGAGGGTCCCCTTTAAAAAAAATCCTAGCTCCTGGATTCATGTGACTCAGTCAGGTAGGTTTTCTAGTGGTTAAAGAATGGGCTTGTAAATCAGAGCTTAAGAATACTATTCCTATCATGCCTACACCTCTCAAAATGTTGCTAACTTTGAGGACAGCAGCTCATTTTTGACTCAACATTATGTATGTTCTATGCAGGTTTGGTTTCCTCCCATCTTCCCTGATAAAAGTTGTTTAGTTAAGAAAGAAAAACAAACAGAAAAATGAGGTTACAGAAAGAGCCACTGTGCGCTGGAATCCAATGATATTTTAATATTACTGCATGATTTATTTTTGTGACCCATGTTCTGAATCTTTGTTACACATTGTAGCCCACCTAGGTGATGTCTACACAGCAAAGTTATTTCAGGATTCCGAAATAGCTGTTCCGCATCTTCAGAGCATGCCCATTATATTGAAATATAACGGGCTTGCTATGCCGACATCCTTGTAAACCTCATTGCCGGGGCGGCCCATACATATAGGCAAACTAGGCGGTCGCCTAGGGCACCAAGTTAAATGGGGCACCAAATTCAAGTTAAATGGAGGCGCAATATCGTTGAGGGGTTTGGAAGTGGGGGTGCCGATTGTATGATTCGCCTAGGGCGCCAGCTGCTGACAGCTAGTCTAGGGCCGCTCCTGTCATTGCATGAGGGATAAGGGACATTTCAGAATAGCACCTTATTTCAAAATAACATTGAAATAAGCTACACAATTTGCGTAGTACAAGTTGTATAACTTATTTTGAGGTAGGGGTGCTGTATAGACACACCCCTATGGGCCTGGGCAGGATGAGTCATCTCTAGCACTGATTCACTGTGTGCTGTTAAGCAAGTCTACCCAGGGACAAAGGAAGATTAGGGCACCAGCATGCCAAGCACTGGAGAGAGTAGACAGCATAGCTTCCCTCTGCATCTGATAAGGCAGGCATGTCCAAAGTCCGGCCTGCGGGCCAATTGCGGCCCGTGTTCCGGTTTAATACGGCCCCACAGGTAATTTAGCAATATCTATTTTTTAAGGCCCCCAATGAATCCATATGTATTGAGATGAATACATTGTAAAATCTCAGTTAATGTCAGTTGGTCTAAATCAGTTATAAATATATTTGGACACAACATGTAGACTTGGTGTTATGTTCCTGTTCATATTTTTTGAACTTAAAAGTTGACAGACAACCTTTATTACCAATAATATGTAATATACTTTACAATGTTCCTGACATATATTTCAGCTTCCTGGATTTTTTTTTCATCTGGCCTTCAGATATGAAAGGCAGAGTGATTTAACACCTGTTTAGATTTGTCATCCATGTGACGAAATGAAAAGTATGCCGTTTGCAATAAACTTTGCATAAAATAGTTAATTTGCATTTAATTTTAATGGTTCAAAGAATGTCAGGCAAAATGGTCGGCCCTCACGCATGTTCACTTCATCAAATCTGGCCCTCTTTGAAAAAAGTTTGGGCACCCCTGTGATAAGGGGATGAAACGCCCTGTCAGGGGGCCAGAAGGATGAATTCACTTACAACATAGGGGATCCCCAATAGGGATTGACTAGTCACTTTCCCTCCTTGCTGCCTCTATCAGAAAAAGGCAGCAAAGGGGGTGGAAAAGGAGGAGGGGCTAGGGGGAGCCAGCTTAAAAGCCGGTTCCCCCCCAGGACCAGGTCTGTGGGAGGGGGCAGGGGCACGGCAGTAAAGTTCCCGCTGGGGCTCGTGTCCGGCCCAAAGGCAGAAGCCGCCCGGCGCTCGCTCCCTTTCAAAGCAGAAGGGCCACGACGGACTAACCGAATAGCGGATGGAAATTCATAACCGC